CGTTCATCACCTGAGAGAACGCCAGCCCGTTTACAAAAATGGGAAGAAAAGATTTTCAGCCGCAGAGTGGGTGCTTTGCGCAGGATCGCGGATGCGACAATACCGTTGCATAGGCCTTTTGACCCTGCCCATATGCCATGAACATGAGATCTTTCCAAAACTTCTGAAATTTCTACGAATTAGAATAAATGTAACAGAAATTATCTGACAACCTAATAATTTTGGGCTTTGGAGCTAGAAGGTCAGGAAAAGTGTGGTTGTCATAGTAAACACGGCCACTTTTGTAAGTTGACTTCTGCATGGAAAAAACAAACGCTCAGCTTAGCAGAACTTATTTGGCCATGCAGTCTTACGATCATGTATGTATTTTGTGCTAAGCTTGTCATAGGACTACAGAAGCTGAGTTTTGAGGCTCGAAATCGTGCTGATTCGAGGATCATGTAACTCAGTTGTAAAACGCGACGAAAACGCAGGGATTTCCAAGCGCCAAAAAGAATATCTAATAAAAGTATGATCTCTCCTCATACCCTTTGTAGAAAGTAATTGATGCTTGAAAAACAGTTGTTTTTAGAGCGCACTGACTGCGGAAATTTTGAGCAATTCAAGAAAGGTAACGCTTTTTTTCTAAACTACACTGGGCTTGTTGCGTACTAGATATTTTAGCCTTTGAACTTAACAAAAAATTTTGACGCGAAACGCAGATTTGACTGAAAAAAGGAGCTTTGTTTGAGGTGTGCGTATGATTATGAAACGCTCAAAATTTCATCCAACGAAAAAAACATTTTTAAGATTGACGCCATTTTCCGTTCTACACCGTTTTCGACTACGCTCTTCACTACCTACGGTTTTTTGAACATAGTACCAACGGATCACGTAGTACCAAAGGTTTATGACCACTTTCAAAAAATTTCGAAGGTCTATAATTTGGAGTTTTGTACAATTGTGAACCGCTTTATTACGCGGAAGAATCAAATCCTTGATTTTTTCAAACTTCCTCGTCAATTTTACGCACAACTCATCCTTTCACCCAGCTTCCTCTTGTAATAACAACAGTTACAGACTTGAAGTGGCATCAAAAAACGAATCTCCACAAGAAGCCACATATTCTTCCACGCATACATAGAACAGAAGAGCGTTCACTTCCAACCGCGCTTTGCGAATTTTCTCATCAACCTAGGAAGCGTGCAGAAAGAGAACGCATATGCGACGATATGAAACAAATAGGCTGATAATGCATAAAAATTCTCATCAGAAAAGAAAAAGTTTCTTTACTTCTCATTTTTTTTCGTCTTTCTCTGAGCACATAACGTCCAACCTTTAACCCCGCTTTAACTTTGAGGCTGTCTCATCATAGGGAGAGCGAGATAGAATAATGCTTCAAACTTGGAAAAGCAGAAAAACAGTCAACCGCAATCCTAAACTTCTGACTCTTCGCTTTAAGGCCCCGGTCAGACTTCACGCGACTTAATCGTCGCGACCAAATCGCCAAGATTTCCATTCATTTTCATTTCACATTCAAAAATTTCGGTCTGGAAAAGTATCACAACCGAATGCAAGTTGATCTGCATGGAATGATGTTATAACAGTTGTCTCCTCGCGATTCAGTCGCGACGATCAAATCGCGTGAAGTCTGCCCGGGGCCTAACGCAGCCTGCGGCCGGCTGCATCTCGTGCACACCATTGTCACGCACAATCAGCGAGCTGCGCGGAAGCTGTGTTGAAAATTGTCACCATATGAATGCAACTTAAGAGCGCTACTTTTCTGCTGCAGGAGATTCACTTATGTGTGTACAGGAGATGCGGAAAAGTATAGGCGTTTCCCATGCGTATAGCGGGCATGGCCGTGCAGACATCTGAACACGCTGAAAAACTTGTTGAACCTCCACTCTAAAGCATTAGTTTTTGTACTCTCTAGCTGCCAAAAACTGCCACGCGCGTATCTACGTTGGCAAACGTCGGCAAAGCTCCGCCCGCTATACTGTGGGGAAAAGACGATAGGAAGAATGTTAAACAGCGTCCAGACAGAGACTGTCAAATTCTAATGGTGTACATATATTGGTCCCTTGATTCAGCAGCTGCGCAAGTGCAGAGGCACAGGTTTTCGGAAAAGCGACGCTCTGGAAGGTCGCTTAACTACACTAGTGCCAGTGAATACATTTTCTTAGCGATTGAATCAGTCCCTTGCATGAATACTGCGCCTCAGCTTGCAAGCTCTCTAGACTGTTCATGTCGAGATACCGTGCAAACGCTATCCGGTTTACCATCCAGCGACCGAGTCGTTACCATCTACTTCACTGATGGCGACGACACGATCACTGAGGTTGCAGACCGGATCTTAACTCGGAGCAAATCACTGCTTCCTCATAACGATTTACTAGATGGAACAAAAGTTCTGTTGCACCATTTTTAACAATTTATAACTTCTTGATTTCTCAACTTGCATGCTTTCAGTTTTGCTTGAAAGATAAAGTTACGCGCTTTATAATTGCTTCTACCCCGTTTCCCAACACGCACAAAATGGGTAGATAGAAGGGTGGGAGACACTCAAATTTTGTCCGGTAGTAAAGCCCTGTTCAGCGCATTCGGCTGGAGGCGGGTCTAGTTGAACGTAGAGCGCCTCAGTCCGGTATCCTGTCTAAATTCAGAGGTCTTATTCGCTCCTAAACACTAAATCCTTTAAGTAAGTGTGGTCGAACGGCCAAGTGAGTAGATTTCAACGCAAAAGACCATGATTCCGAGTTGGCTAGTGGCAGATTTTTGCGCCACCCCCGGACAATCTTTGGTGGTGGCCGCTATCGAGAAAAATCGATGGCGACCGCTATCAAGTTTACTGCCAAGCAAATGAATGCGTAAAACAAACTACCATATTTTGACGAGGATAGTATCATGAAAAAACGAAATAGAGCAAAATGGAACTTAGAGCAAACGAAACAAATCAAGAAATTCTTGTTTTTGGCAGTTTTCGAAAAAAACGTAAGCAAGCTCTTTTCAGGCCGCCGAAACTGTGCAATTCCGGAAGTTTTGCACCGGAGTAGTACGACAACTAAATTTTTCCTAAGTTACTCGCAAGCAACTTACGGGAAATTTTTCTGATTCTCCTCTTTTGCACACAATCTCTCTCGGGTCACTCTACAATTTAACCTCGGATAAGTGGCATTCTGGTGAACTGACTGGGACATTTGACCGGACAATCTTCTGACTGTTAAAATGACTATCTCAATGCACAGGAAGGTGGGCAGGATTAGGTTCACCCGAGAAAGTTCTTCTGAATGACTATTCTCAGGTCACCTGAGATGAACGGGAGTTTACTACGAGCCTTTGATTTTTTATGTCTGGTCATCAAAAAAACTGACAAACTAACACTTGTGAAACGTGCAATAAAATTGGAGCAGACAATGTTATGGGTTTCTTAATTTGCTTCATGACTGAGCAAAGTCTGTGCTTATAAAATTTCTAAAAAGCTATGCTTTTTCGGAAAAGTACCAAAAAAATCAAATTTGCGTTTTGTACTGCTTGCTCAAAATTCATCACATTTTGCAACGCTCAATCAGCATAAATTTTGTGTAGTGTGAAGAAACTGCGAAAACTTCAAAGCTGACTGCTTCGATTTTTACTGCGAGTTTCAGATTTTTCATAGCCAAACACAGTAAAAGCAAAAATTGACTAAGGGCCGCATGCATTAACATCCCCGCTAGGGAGGAGATCGCAGCTTACAACGAAAGCTTTATATCCTAAAGCTCCAGATGGATGACTGGATTACACGCTATATACCTGTCCGTAAGTATTCCTAGCTTCCTTCACTATGAACATATTGAAAAGGAGCGGAAAGCTGTACAAGCCGCATTTATTTTGTATGTTTTCCTGATGAGCGGCTGAACGTCTTTTCTTCAAAATCATTCATTATCCTTCAACTTAACGCAAACGTTCCAAAGCTGTACGGTTATCTAACCCAACAGTGCTAAGCATGTTGCTGATAAGAACTAATAAGTTTTTGGAATATCGGTTTTTTTCGATAAACCCCAACACTTGACTTGTGGTTCATCGCAAATTTCATGACTCCAGTACATCATTTGTTGTTATCAGCAACAAGCTTAGCACTGCTGGGTTAGATGAACAGTACAACTTTTGAACGTTTTCGCTAACTTTGAAGAAAGAAAAATGTCTTGAAGAAAAGACGGTCGGCCGCCGGGGGTCATCAGGGGATCACACAAAATGCTAAAAAATGTGGCTGGTATAGCTTCTCGCTCCTGTTTGATATGTTCATAATAAACGATGGTAGGAATACTTACGGAGGGGTAGACAGCGTGAAATACAGAAGTTGGGCTTTAGGATATGAAGCTTTTTTTGTACGCTGCGATCTCCTCTTCGTCAGGGATGTTTATGCATGCGGCCCTAATTTTCCTCTACTGCTTCTATCTACCGAGTGTGTGCATGATGAGAAGCGGGCTACATACAGTTTTGAGCGCATAACTTTTTATTCCAAAATCCAATGAATGCAAATCCGTTAGGGAATTCACATGAATTTGGAAATGTTGCGACAGAACTAACTGAAAACTGATCTTGCCACGATGAAAATCTGGTCCCAAAACTTTCTTTCCAAAGAAGTTTAGGGCTCTTAGAAGAACTTACTCCTGGAAGAACATTTACCGTCAATTATACTGTTTTCACCGTGTTGTCGTGCCAGATGCAGAACATCGCACAGCTTTGAAAGATCAGCTCGCCGCTATAGGCTTGTTTCTTTTCAAAGTGTGACACTACGAGGTTGCAGAGAATAAAGCAGGGAGCGTTTATGTTAGTGTGGAAAGGGGGAAAGCGTCGTTCCTAGAGGGCAATTTGATTGAACTCTTGCTCAACCTTGCCTAAAACACCCGGCTTGACTTCATACTGCTTCTAAAGATCAGAACCAAAGACAGCAAAAAGCGGGGAATCCAAGTTGGTGAAGATGGTGACAGATCATACGAAAAGCATGTTTGTGAGGGCATGTTGTACTATGTTTTCAGAGTTATTGGACAAAATATTGTAAACAAAGTGAAAGTAGAACGTCGCAGCAGATTCAATGAAACGAATAAAAAGGATAGCACAAGGTGAGCCCAACTGCCAATGTGGGGCTCTGTGTCATATTTTAGCCATCATTATAACACTATCTCAGCAAATGCTAAATCTGTTGTCTTTGTACTATATCGCAGGGCTTTCCTTGACAACTTTATTAAACGGCTTTGTAAACACTTAAGTGCGCGTTTCTGAGCGACTACATGATGTGCATAATGACTACCTTATGGTAGAGTTCTCAAAACTTTTGTTTTTGTTTCGGAAGCAATTACTTGTGATTGTGTAGAGTGTGAGAAATTCAGCACAAATAATGTTCGCAAGTCAGAGTTGTGTCATTGTTCTATACGCAACTTATTCCTTTTCAGCTTAATAATCATACTCGTATCGCTCGGTGTAGCGGCGCTCGTTTGTTTTGTGGCTGTTACCGTAATCATCGTCGCCATTTTGCGGAAGAAGCGAAGAAAGAAAAAAGAAGGTGAGAAATTACCTAAATTTCAAAATCAAGTGTCGAATGTTTAGAAGCAGAGAAAACGAAAAAAGTGCTAATTGTAAGTAGCCACAAATTGCTTTTTATGAGAAGCATGGTATGAGCACAAGCATCGCAGGCAAAGAAACCCCGCAAAATGGAGGCAGCCGATGTTAATGCAACGAAATTCACTCATGGAGGAGCGCTTGTACTCGCTGCAAAGTTACAAGGCCCGGTGGTAAGTTCATCTAAGTAGCATACGATCTCTCTCAGAATCGCTTCAAGTATTAGGTTGTTCCATATGTTCATACCGTTTTCATTTTTGTCCTCATTTCTCTAGAATGCGCTTGTTTTGCAGCAAAACTTGTACGTAGTTGATAATCTAATCATGCTCTTCATAAAAAAACCTATTGATCTGGATGGGAAACTGACCCACATCAATTTCTCAGGCTTCCAAATGTGAAATTACCAAAAGAAAATATGAAGCATTTTCGACATTTGTTATTTTTTCTGACAAACGAAATGTTTTTGCATAGATTGTTCGGCGATTACGAAAATGGCGCTTTTCTATCAGCATGTGACGAAAAAGAATAAGATTGCTTCGAAGAAGTTAAGAGTCACAGGAAGTTCCCCGAAAAGACTTTTTGCGGAACAGGAGGTTCTGCACTGAAAATTTCTAAACAAGAACAAACCTGTAAAGCATATCGTAGTATCCAAATTGTGCCGCTCAAACAAATTCCTACTACAAAATCTCAAAAACTAGGTTCAGTGAGTGTCTGCATGGCAAAATATGGCTCTGTAGGGCAAAGTTGTCAAGACTGTTTTGCAAGACACTGAGACATATTGTATCCGATGTACTCCCCAGCCTTGCCCCACCAGTGATCATTCACTCTCGCTTGCAAACCGCATGAAGGGTGCTTGTTCCGATTCTAAAGACAATTTAAGGCGCTGGTTAGACGCCTTTTTGTGAACAGAGCTGAGTTTTGTAAAAACGAAATCGAAGATTTGACGTCGGTGGCAGGAAGCGGAAAATATATCATTAACTGATTTTTGACAGAACGTTGTTACTTTGTTGGTTTATAAAACCGCTACGGACTTATGGAACAATCTGATAACACAATTTGGTACTTGCCAAAATAAAGGCAAAATAGCAAAAAGGGTAAAAATTATCCCACTTCATCCCTTTCTGATCTACACAGCCCAACTTTTCGCACTTCCAATGCTTCATTTTTATGCCTTCTGTTGCCACCAATCCTATCCTGTAAACAACAGAGCAATCCCAGGTTCATGCGGAAGGAGATTCCGAAGGAGAAAGTATTCATACTATCCAGTTTGATCCTCATCTCAATGAAATTGTTGATATTGGATCAAATATCGAAGTTCTACCAGTAAGTACTCAACCAAACAGAAGTGTAACGAATAATTCTAACTGCAGGACACCGGTGACACAACCTGCACGGATGTCGGCGTCGTTCAAAATGAGAAAGTACGTAATCAATATAAATGTTAACATAACCAAATCTCAATGCAACTATCAGAATAAGGTGTCGAAATATACTTTTACAGAACGCGATGAACACATTGCGAAAGGCCATAAACAAGGTAGGTTTTAATCAAAACTCGCTTTTTATTTTAAACTTGCTAGGGGAAGGCGCAGCAAACGAAACGTAAGAGACTCAACACTGCTCTGCCTTGTATTTTTCCTCCCGATGCTGCACATCTCTTTGCTTTCTGCACGACACATCAAGCCGTTGTTTGACCAAATCTTTGGAACACATGCCAGAACCAGACATTACCTCTTTTAGCAGCAAGTTTAGTTTCCGTTTTTAAAACTTATTTTCCACCAACAATGATTCTATTCGAGAGCACCAACTCGAATTTCTGACGCGTGAGAACACTTGCTACATTAACGTAAAGCTAAAAGAACTACAGCCCTCCCACGGCCTGAATGCATACTGCTTCATATTGCGAGCGCACAAGACTAATAGTAAGATACATTTACCGAGATCGCCATTGACACATTTGAATAGCACCGCACCTACAATTGTCCCAGAGTTTTTGTTTTTGAACTCGTTGCATCAAAATGTAGTCGACATGTACTGATGATGGGAAAATAATGAGCGTTCTCTAAGCAAAATGTATATTGAAACGCGTCAATTCAGTACCCCAAAATCTCGATCTCAGATCTTCAATAAGAAAAATCCTGGTCTCCCACATCATCATATGGTAGACGCATACTGAAACGCACGAATGGAGCTACTAGGTTTTTCAAATAAAAAAGTCAAAAAATAGACAAATTACGGAAAGGCAGCCTATCGTCTTTTCGTGCTAAAAAGCAAATTTTTGACTGGGGGCTGAAGCAATACGAGGATAGTATTTTCATGATTTTCAGGGTGCGCAAATATTAACGGCGCCATCTTTCCAGCACTGCCACGATAGAACCACTTTGAAATATAAGCTCATATTTATGTCATGACATCCTAATCAAACTCTACATGAAACTTTTTACAAACCAAAAAGACCTCTTTTCAAAAAACTGAGAATAGAGAGGATCAGACTAGCAGTTTTCTAAATAAACTAAAGCCTTTTTGAACCATTAGAAGCTGGGAGTGCAGAGCACACTTTGCACTACCGCATAGTCTTAGCTGCATTTACAAAATCTGTTCTTTTGCGAAATATACCTGTGTAAAGCAGTGTTTTCATGTTCGAATCGTTTGTAAGACTCCATACTTGCAAAACCTTCCAATTAAAAACATTTCTTTGTTTGTGAGATCTGTGAAAAGCATCTATCATGACCGGATTGTCAAGTTAGTTTTGGAATTGATATAAAAGATATCTTCTGATTTGCAGGTGCACCCAACAGGGCCAAAATACCATTGGTTTTTGATATGCTGCTTCAAAGCATGGTTTTTAGCAATTGAAAATCAATCTTCGAATCAACTCAGCACTGGGAGCGGACGAGCCGTGGCCCAATTCCAACCGGGCATTCGCTGCTCCCGCGGGCCGTCCTTAAATGGGCATTCCATCCGGCCGTAAATGAGCCACGGCTCGTTTTTTATTTCTCGTTTTAGATTGTTCGAACACCGTCAAGAAAGAAAATCTTACAAGGAAACGATACTCGGCGTCCGTGGCCTTTTGAGATGATATGTATACCATTACATTCGCCTTGGAACACTGATTCCGAATCTGACTTCTGTTTCTGCTAATCGCTTCAAAGATGCTACAATGGATCGCGCGGATTCTGGCTGCCCAGTGAAATACGGTCGGAGCGCCAACGTTAGCGGTGCACTGTGGTCTAATGGTCCGTGCGATAGCCTCATGAGTTGATGCGGGTGCAGGTTCGAACCTCTTTGTGTTCTTCAGTTTTGCATTGCCTCAATTAATCTTCTTTCGCATCACCGAGCTAAGTGAACACCCTTACTCTTCAAATATTGTGAAAATTTGGACAAAATGATTACTATTTGTGCTGAATTGTATGCAGTGATTATAGTTCAAGTAGATTTTCTCGAACAAGCTTAATTGAGGCAATGCAAAAGTTAAAAAAAAAGGATTTGAACCTACACCTGCATCAACTTATAAGGCTATCCACTAACAATTAGACCAGAAGCCTTATTTATCATTGAACCTAAGATAAATTCTACCTTGAGGTAAATTTCACCTCAAGATAAATTGTACCTTGAGCGATTCGTATTCATCAGCGTACCTTGAGGTAAATTCTACCTTTGCAGTCTGTATACAGTGACGTTTATTCCGACCACGCTGTGAGTCTAAGCGGTGCATCAAGTTTCTTGTTGCGGATAAAACTCTTCCCAAAACAAAATGTGTTGTAATTTTGTACCCTTCCGGCAAGTGATGACGTATTTTGACAGGGAGACGGTTCGAAGTGCCCTTACATATTTGAATACGATAAAATGAGAATGTCTCAGGTCTTAAAAGATTAAAGAATTTGCGGCCATTTTTTTGTTCAAACTACATATTTTGACAAAACAGGAGTTCGCACCTCATTTTCGAAACTTATAAGCGGAGGATAGCAAGTTGCAGTGGCCTCGAAGAAATATGTACAGGCTGTCGTAAAATCTTTCAGCCTAACTTTGCAACAGTGTAACTTTGTTGAATCCTTTGCATTCGAACCAAAATGTGGGTTTGTCGTAAAGATGACATCACTTCAAAAAAAAATTGGTACTCGCATTGTGCACAAAACACCGGTTTCTCTTCATTGAAGAAGTGTAGAATTAAAACATAAATTCTTGGAATGGTCCTGCCACTGGGAAGGAAAAACTTTTTGGATGCGAAAGCCCGAAAAAGCTGAAATGTAAAACCAATCACTTTGAGTGCCAGATTTCGGTTATGAGATTACATTTTATACCAAAACATCGTTGGATAATCACGCCGGTCACATTGTAATCACTCTTTTTTATTGTGCTCAAGAAGTTTATATAAGTTTAGTTTTTGAGTTTGAAAGTTTCTTACCCTTTCGTTTTGCATTATTTACCTGTTAATTGGCCCCTTTTAAAGTCTGAAACGATAATTGTTTCAAAAAAAAATAGAAAGAGAACTCGACCGTGCCAATAACTTTGAGCTTGCAGACCTCAGTGATTTTTCAGGAGCTTGTGGCTGGCGCGTGGCGCTTTTGCCCGCTTTCAATGCTTTTCGGCGCTTTTGGACACTTCGGAGTTCTTTTCGACAAATTTGGCCGGCCTTTAGAAAAAGAACTGATTTTATTCAACACATCCTCCCCTGCTTCCAACTATTAGGTTGGTAAGAAAGTACTCGGACATTCCCTGTATACAAAGATAATGCTTCGATGCAAGCACCAATAGGGCATGCTGTACATCGTTGGATAGAGGAAAGCAAACACTACAAGACCATGCTAATCACAGCCATGACTAATGAATCCTTGAAAATAAAGGTGAAAATTCGAAGACATAGGATTTCAATAGAGCTCAGAACTCCACCTTCCGTAAACACTGTAACACTCACAAATATTCCAATATAAAGTAGACATGAACTCACACACATATATGCAAGGTCTGTATGGAATTTGAGCTTAATTAGCAGGAAAAATGAGATAATCGAAAAGTGGCAAACTGCGCCCCTATTGACTCTAAGCGCCTCCCATCTGCACAGTTATAAGCCGCGTATATGTGAGAGTAGAACTACAAATTTTCACGTTCGTAGATGCATTACAACCCGAGAAATATCAGTTTTAGCGTGAAAGTGTCCGAAAACTTTTTTAATGATTTAGTGATTTATTTGCCTTTCATATTATTACAATATGCGGCACCCAAACAAACTGATCCATTCTTTTAACGTGTGTGATCTTACTCTTTGCCAGTCGGAAGTGCCAATCTTCTTCTGAAATTCGTCTCTCCATCGGGCCAGTATATCGAGTCGTGTTCTCTTCAGGGCTTCTTGCAGTTCATGTAGTTGGACTTCATTTGGCAGGCGTCTCACTTGAATGTTCCAATGTGTAAACAGTCGTTGTTGTGGTGGAACATACTTGATCCTGCTGTTCCGAGGGTTCCTGGATCAAGGGTTCGACGTCCGGTAGGGTGGGGAAGAGCGGTCAAAATGACCGACCAGTCGAGGGACGTGTAGAAGATGAACTCAAAAAAAAACTTTCTTACCAACCTAAAAAATGATGATATTAGAATGAACATTACTGCAATACAACTTACCTTGAGCTGTACCTCAAGGTACAATTCACCTTAAGGTATAATTTTCGTATTCATCAAAGTCTCTCTCTCAAGGTTAGATTTACCTGTGCCAAGATGATTAGGACTGACGTATATTAGCAGCATGGCAAGAACTTCCAGTAAATTGCTTTCTTTTGTATTTCCGTGATATTTTCGTGAGGAATGTGTTGGAACATCGGTTTCAAAGTTTTACAGTAAATGATTTTGAGACCGTACAGTTTTTATAAGCAACTACTTCGAGCCCAAAAGGGGTTTATCTAACAACAAAAAGTTGATTGCTTCTAGTTGAATCGAATTTTAAATTCGTATAATATTGTTTCTACAACAATGGAACCTTTCTGGAAAAAGTACTTCTTACACAGTCATCAAGAGGGTAGTCTTAACATTCCAAGTTGTCAAAGTAGTTTTTTTCATAGTCACTTTAGGTTTGAGTCAAAATCTGCCTTATTCGATGAGGTTTTTACCGATAATGTTTTTTCAAGTACTTCGCGAAATTTTATGGTGCTCAAAATTCCGCCAAATGTTTTTTGCCTCGTTCTGAGTTCTTTGTAATTCACACAGGCCCGATTATCCCAAAAGTAGTGAAGTTTTGGCTTCCAAAGCTTCATAATCATCATCATTGAAAGTATGTACAGACGGTTCCGTAATGGGTCACTTTCGGGGTTTGGGGAATATTTTTTTTGCTCAAAGCTATAAATGTTCAAACCCACATGTGTGCGTTGCGAGTAATTGAATAGTTGAGATAAAATTTTCTTGCTCAACCAAAAATATTTGTCCATTTTTTGCATTCAACAGCTAGCTCTTTCTTTCTGCTAAAGTGTGGAACAGTGTGTATTGAAGATATAAACATTTTGGTGAAATCATCCTTTGAAATCCGGTATGACCAGTCAGAAAATGGGATCGATT